ACTAACACATGTTGAAAGTTGTTTGTGTACAAAGTCCTACACTTAAGTTTTCTTACACAGTCTCTTCTCTCCTTGAAGAAACTTGACAGTTTCCCAGCTGCAGCTAAGTGTCAGGGAGCAAGGAAAATATGTCCATGGAAGCAAGCTAAGGGCATCAAGGATTTCTCAGAAGGGGAGATAATGCCAATCAGCACATATTCAGACATGAGTCACATCTTTTTCAGGATCATTCAGGATAATTTCAGACAGGATCATTCTTTTACAACTTAAACACTTGGGAATCAGAAAAAGCTGAAATTCAACATGACAGAGAGAACACTTTCAGATATTTGTATGGCAATGACATTGTGAACACATATAAGTGTATTTTACTAATATCCAGTGCAGCCATTGGTCAACACAGTAATATATAGGCTTCCAAACATTAAAAATCTAGGATCATCCAGTATTCATCTACCGTAAACTTACTATGCTTTACACAACAAAACAAAAAACAATAAGCTGTAACATTAGAGAGAGAGATGTTGTTTCCTGAGCATAGAATAGGCGTCTTGTTCAAGATCTATTTTGTCTTCTGATAAACTTCAATATTTGGTGCAACAGAATATGATAGCTGAATGTGCTACTTTCACCTGTAAATTATCTGGCCTTCCTCGCAAAGGAAGGAGGACTCATACTTGCAAACATAGCTAACTGCTAGTTTTTCAGAGAAATATATGAGGTAAAGTATACTTGAAAAGGTAAGAAGATGGTCTGATGGACAGAACAAAGGCTCACAAATTAGCGTTTATTAATTCTTTTCTTGTTGCCACCAATGACTTAATGTGTTGCCTGGGGCAAATCTCTTATCTGCTCCATACCGTAGTTCCCACATTTGCAAAATAATATTAGCCAAAAGGCATCTCATTAAACGCAATTAATGTTAGTAAAGTGTTTTGAGAACCTCATACAAAAGGTGCTATAAATGTACAATCTGTCATCTTATTGTACTGTTTCAGGATCATTTGACCCACTTCTGAAATACATCCCACTGACATAAAGTGCAACATAAAGCCACACAGAAAGAATGCACTTAGGATTTAGTGCTAGAAGTGACACCTACCCAACATACTACTTTCCCAAAGCAATTATGATTTCAGATATACAGATAAACTGTAAATATCCGTGATGAAATTTGTTGAGGACACAATGCACTTTTTATACACGGAGTATCCTAACTGTTTCAAAGCACTGGCTTGGATTTTGATTCACTAGATTGTCAGCAGGGCTTAACCAACAACTGGCTCACCTTTGAGATTTCTTATCCGAGTACTGATCCTGCCCAGTCTTGTTTAGTTTATTACGAGTTCTGATGAGATCAGTTCCTTAGATGACACACCTGCAGGCTGCTTAACTATTCTCAATTTTTATATATAGAAACAGAACACTTAGTACCATTTGTAATTGAAAGCAGATTCAGTTGATAATATTTCATGACAAGACTTTTTGGCCTGTAGTCCACAGAATTACCAATGAGTACTGATGTTCTGGGGCACAGTTGTCCCCAGGCTGCACCTCCTGTCACTTTGTTGCTTAGCTCAAGGCCATGTAGTGATTATGTACTTTCTTGCTCAAGGAGTAAGCAAGAGTAAGCACTTATTTCTGCATTTGTCCTAACAACTAACTTCTGACTGACTTGTTAACTCAGAACAGTAAAAGAAGTAGAATAAATGTAAATATGCAATTGCATTTTTATGCTGTAGTCTGAACTGTATAGGAAATATGATCTGGGCACTGGTGTCATCTTGTTGTTACCTGTTTGTCTACTTTTGATCATCTCTCCAAAGTACATTTGAAAAGCACGGTTTATTGTAGCACTTTATACATGTATGATACAGCAAAGTACTCAGAAGGTGAATGCAAAGATTCTAATCAAATAAAGATCTTGGAAACAATGTATATTCTAGCTTTCTAGCAGAGAGAGTTGTGAGAGTTTTTGTTGGGCTTGTTTCCAACGGGCTTGTCCAATTTTACTATGGACTCTCTGTTTATCATCAGAGCTACTATGGCCTGCAGATTAACCTGTTCATGAACAACAGCATTTGTTCAAGGGGACCAATTGTTTTAGATTCAAAATATCCCAATCCTACATTTACTGGAACTATGTCATCCTTTCTCACTTTGCTGTTCAGGTATTTAGGTTTGCTTTTGCCTTTTGTGGTGAATTCTCAGATATCTCATATCAAATATGGGATATATGTTTGAACATTTTGGGGGGGGTTAGACTTCTGGATTTTCTTTGCCAGTTTTATGAAAGAACTTCCATAAATCTTCATCCAGAAAAGGTATATTTGGAATGGACTGCATGCCTCACAAGAATTCTCAGTGCTTAGCAAGATGGAGTCCATGCTTCCCAGCAAATTAATTTTTTTGCATATTTTCAGATGTGTTCAGTCTCTTTCCTCTGCTCTTCCATTTGTGTCCATCCTCCATCTAAGCCCGTCTGTATCTCCTGTTTTCCCTTACCTTCCTTTTCACTCCTTTCTCTGTGCTCCTCCTTTGCCACCTCACACTAGTTGGCTCCACTTCCCCAAATGCATTCCCCTTTATCTTTCTCCCATCTCAACCACAGCCTGTTGGTTCTTCTTTCTCTAGAGCCCTGATTAAGAATGTACGTGATATCCTGCTTATTCGCACTCAGTAGTCTCTAGTGCTGCCCAGCAGACTTCGTGAAGCTTCCATGTCTCCATGTAATGATTAGTTTGGTTACACTCTGTTTCTCCTTACCCAACATATCTGGGTCACAGTATATATTCAGAGTCACATCTAAATGAAATAAAGCTTTTCTATCATTTCAACTATTATTAGCCTTAAGGACCTAAAAACCACAAACTGAGCTTGATTCTGTTTCTGTACGTGCATGATTAGTAATATTGTCTATTACAGTTCTGCTAGAGAGGTAGTCAGATGTATTAGTGTAATCCCAATGGCAGTAAAGAAATTACAAGGATGTATGTAGGCGTCATTTTGCCTGCACGTGTGTGTGTGTATGCGCATAGATAAATATATATGTATATGGAGGCAATTATATGGAGGCACTATTTTTTTCTAGTGATGACGCACAAATTGGAAGAAATTAAACCTGGCTTTTGAGCAGGAGTAAGTAAAAAAAGAATTATGCTTATTCTGAATGACACCCTTAGAAAATACACTTGGAATGCTTCTGCATCATTTTTTACATTTAAAAATTAGAACTGTAATTTTGAAGTTTTGCCTTGTATTTGCTCAAAGCCCTATATAGTGTCATGCATCAGAAGACTCACATAGTTCCTTCCAGCAGCCTCTAATAATACTTTTAAACTAGAAATGAATCACATTACGGAAATAAAGCGACCAAGATGCTAGCAGATAGCCTACTAGGCAAGGTGAACCTCTGATCTGATATATTATTGCAGTTCAGTTGTTCCCACATCTCAGAGCTGTGGGAGGGATCATGTATCAGATGTGGACTACATGTTTTCAGAAGATCCACTTAGCTTTTTTCTTGGCTTCTTGGCTAACCTCCTTAAGTCAAAGAATCATTTTTGTTTGTCATTTTGTCATAGTGTGGCTGTCCTTTCTCAGTTCATGTAATAACAAACTGTTCTGGGCCTCAGATTTTATTGCAATGTGTCATGGTTTAACCCCAGTCGGCAACTAAGCACCACGCAGCCGCTCACTCACTCCCCCCCGCCCCCGGTGGGATAGGGGAGAGAATTGGAAGAGAAAAACTCGTGGGTTGAGATAAAAAAGGTTTAATAATTGAAATAAAATGATAATAATAATAATATGATAATAATAATAATAATAATAATAATACACAAAGCAAGTGATGCACAGT